AACTACTGAAGGGAAAGGGGGGAAGTACTTATCTTCCTTTACTATGTTCCAGGGTACATCATAATGGAACTTTAAATCAAGAGAAAATCCCTTTCTTAGGCTCTGGAGGCTGTTAAGGTCCTCCAAAATCCTTCCTTCTTTCACAGTACTGCAGTACAGCCAACCAGGGCCATTTTCCAGTTGCTTATGCAGCTAGATGTACCCCCAATTTCTCATCTACATAGCACATGCTTACAGGAAGCTGTTTGCATTTCACTTCCCTTCTCCTTCACTACACATGGATGTGGAACTGAACTGGACCCAGGTTCAACAATGTACATGAGGCCAACTCCCTGAGAGGAATAAGGCAGAAATAACCTGGACTACTGAGTGACTGCTTGGTGCAAGGCTGCCTCCCCAGCTGGGGTCAGTCCCCTGCAGCATCTGCGTGTGTGAGGGGTCCCTGTTGTATGCTGGGTCTCTTTGTTTTAGATGCTTGTACAAGGCAATTCTATAATTCATTGTCCCTAATGTTACCACAGCTATAAAAGCAATCTATTTGAAGAAATGTTAAACAAACTAAATTTTTGAAATTTCAATGCAAATAATAATAATTGAAAGTCTGGATTACACAGTGTATCTATGAAGGTTAAGAGGAAGAATTCCATGTCTTTAATACAGTAAATTCTCTTTTTAACTAATCTAAAAGGCAAGAAGGCATAGAGGAAATCTGAAGATAAATGCCAAAGGAAGATATTGTTTTGCTATTACATTTATGCAAATTTATGCTAATGATGGCAGGCTGGGTCCAAAACATTTAATTTTGACTTTTAAAATTTTACAATTACAGCATTTTCATCATCTTGTCCTTGCTTCTCATTTACTAAGTTACCAATAAGAACACTATCACAGTAGTGAAGAAAAGAAATGAAAGCCAGACACTAAACTTGCCTTGAATTGCAGATTTCCAGATAAAACTGCTTACTCAAATTTTCAATGTTTGATTAAATTTAACTCAAATAGCTCTATTTTGGTTTTCAGATAATGTAGCTGCTCTTCCTTGAGCATATTCTCTATTAAAATCCACAGTATTTTCTTCAGTACTTCATTTGAATATACACATTTAATCCAAGATGCACTCCTATCTTCTGTGAATTAAGGAGAAATCATCAACAAAAAAATTTCCCATGAGATTAAAGTAAAATAAACCTCAGTTAAACAGCCTTATGCAATTCAGATTCTCTATCAATATAATTTTAAAATATAATTTTCCCCTCAATAAAAATTATGTTGCTTACTCTGTTACAAAACGACTTTTTAAACTGGAAAATATTTTAATCTCAAGCAAAGAAAATAGTGAAAGTATCAAGGTATATATTTGTCACCACAAAATTCTTCCAAAAATCAAACTTATAGATTGTTCTGAAAAGTCTGTTAATTCAATGATCTATGTATGCAATTTTTATGATAGCTGAAAATCAAAAGCATCAGGATAGCAAAGACTTAAAAGGCAGAGTAGATTGGTCAAAATTTTTTAATGATCTTAAAATTCTAAATAATTGAATAACTCATAACAAAATCATTTCTAAATGTAATATGGTTCGGGGTAAAAATTAGGTATCTTTATTTACATATTAAGTTAAATATTTACTATAGGAAATGTTACTTTTGGCTTTAAAAATGCACTTTTTCCCAGTTGAACAACAGCATACTAAATATTGCTTAGGGAAATTTTGATTCTTAATTTAGGAATAAGTTTATCTCAAAATATGAAATAAAGCTAAAAGTTTCACATCATTTCTTCTTCCCAGTTTCTTTCTGGAGCATTAGTTTTGAATTTACATTGTACTGCATATTAAAGGAAAAGGCAACTAAATGACACATTTGGATCCAAGTAAATATTTGACCAGGTCCAGTGAATGCCCCAGGGGCTAGTCAATCAGTAAATCATCACAGTGAGTCTCTGTCACCTGCCCCAGATATAAGAAAATGACATTATTAGTCTTTGTAAATAGGGAAGGGTGGAGGCCATGAAGGGAGGGCTAGGAATGGGGAAAAAAATAAGAACCAAGATGCATTATGTAAAGGTACAATTCCCAACGAGAAATGTAATTGTGTTGTATACCTACAATGTACCAATAAAAGAATTTAATAAAAAAAGAAAATGACATTATTACCTACTCTTAATAATACACAATCATCTGAATAAATAAGTAATTCACAATTCTCAATTTTATTTTTTATTAGTACATATCTGCAGTAATGTTTACATTCCTGGTGTGGAGTTGGTACATGTACACATCTTAATTCCTTTTTTCATCCCTTCTCTTCCCTCTCCATCCATCTCTTGATCCCTTTCCCATTTGAGAAAGATCTGTCTCCCTGCTTCCTAATATCTTTTATTTTGCTCTTTCTTTATAATTTGGATTTCTCATAGAAGAGAAACCATGCAATATTTAAGCTTGTGCGTCTGATTTATTTCATTTAACTTTATGGTCTCAAGGTTTAGCCATTTTCCTACAAATGACTCAAGATTATCTTTATGGCAAGGCCAGAGATTTAGCTCAGTAGTTCTGGCACCTGCCTCGAAAGCACAAGTTCCCAAATTCAATCCCCGGTACCAAAAAAAAAAAATCATCATTTATCTTTATGGCAGAGCAGTGCTCCACTGTGTTTAAAAATCTTCCAATACACCAAGTTTCATAAGGGAGTTGTATGAAAATTCATCTAGAAGGCTCCTATGTATGCCACTGTCTGTGACCTTACCTAAATCATCATCTCTTTGAGATTCCTCCTTATCTGATTTTAATCTTATAAGCAAAGCAGATCAGTCCTGGCCAGTGCTGTTCTACAGGAGCAGACACTATGAGGTGTTAGGAAGCAGCAAGAGTATTTTTAGTTTTCATAATTGGGGCAGGGAGAAGGGACTGCCACACATTCCGGAATTATCCCAGGTACCCTGACACTTTAAAATATCCCTCTGCTCATTCCTTTCACTAGAACCTTCAAGCCAAGAGATTAACTCCTTCATACCTGTAAATAAGTTCTCTTAATTGTTTTAAACTGAATTTTCTAGGGATTCAATTCCCACAAAAATGTGTTTTTGTTTTTGGGGGGGCACCAAGGATTGAACTCAGGACCATGTGCTTGTGAGGCAGGTGTGGCACCACTGAGCTAAATCCTCGGCTAACATGTGTACTTTTATTTGGTCTCATTTCAGAAAAAAATCACTTTACTGCATCTAAGTCAACAACATGGTACCCCAGGATAAAGATTCCTTTGCAACTGTGGTGTTAACAGTAATGCTGTGAATAGATGCAAAGAGCCATTTACTTTAATCATGTCTTACAGTATAGCCATGTTATCATTTGTTTTATTATAAATTACTTTCCTGCTCTCTTCAAATCACAATATAATTTTGGCGATGTATATTTTTAGTATAATCTGTTCATATGTGCAATTACCCATAAATCTCACGGCAGGATAGTAATGGGTCATACATAGTATTTCATGAAAATAAGATGCTAGATCTGATCGTGATACAAACCACTAATCTATGATTTATCATGCAGGACTCCTCATAATTCTAATATTCCTTGATTCTATAAAAATTGTTCACTTTAGCAAGTTTTGACCATTAGCAAACCTTCATCTCTACTAGTATTCCTATCAAATTAAAAAGGGAAATACAGGTGACTTCTAAGGCAGTAATTAAAAACACAGGCTCCACTAAATGTTCAAACATTTATGTGAACAGTGGGAAATTCCACAGTACTAATGCTTTTCACATGTTAATACGGAGGAACAGGAAAACCCCCAAAGTACAGCTGGAACTCTTCACTTGTTTGGTCCCAAGAGGCTATGCTCTGAGCCTCAGCAGGTGACTGCACCCTTGTTCTGTGTGAGGGCAACACATTTTAGTGATGTACTGCCTCAGCATTTCTCCCAAAAAGTTCATTCAAGACTATCTATGTTACCGATGTGGAATAGGGTGGACACCACTCACAAACAACTGTGCAAATGTCTTCTTGGTAAAACTTGTGATTCAAAAGGCAACACTTTCAACTTAATATTGGCTTGCTTATGCTGTCATTATACCTCCATTCTGAGAAAGTTATTCTCTGTCATCCAATTGAATGGTCATCATATATTTACTGTACCAACTTCTGATCTGTGAAAATATACCAAAGACCTGAATTTATCCCATTTCCCCCATAACTAGGTTCTCACCACATCCACCTTCTCTATCATGGCTAACCTTTCACCACTCCTACATGCCTTCTTTACTATATTAGCTCTTGTCACAGGCAAGAATTTGCTGGTATTCTACAGAATTTTGAAATATTGAAACCCAAGAAACACCTGCTTATATACAAAGTACTGAACATACAAGAGGAAAACAACTTACACTTGATTCACATACCAAAACACTGGAAGTCTGGAATGACATCAGGAAAATTTACTCAACATTGGGGTTTTTTCCTTCAAAAAGAAAACTTTTGAAGCTTTTAATACATGTTTTGCAAACTCTTATGAAATATTTTTAAAGTATTAGAAGAGGAGATAAAATAATTTGAAGATATACTACATGAACAATTACTTTTAACTCTAAGTTCTGAAAATAAAATCACTTTAATTTATATAAGGAAAATGATCAGCACTATTTTTAAATGATTTTTCTTAATTTTTCTTCATTGCCCTCATACATGATACCAAATTGCTAACTTTCTAAAAATGTATGTCTTTAACCAAAGTAGCACACGAAACAGAAAAGAATTTTTGAACTAATACAGCTGACTTCTCAAACTTCCCTTACTCCACAGCTTATCCTCCATCACCAACATCTCAACAACCGTCAGTGTCGGTTTGGCTCATAAAGGTTTTGGGTTGGTGTTTGGGGTAAGGTGCAGGTTTCAACTTGAAATCTATTTTATTCAAAATTAAGGAAAAGAATCTCTACTACTGATCCTGTGAGAAAGGAAAATGACATGGCAAGGAGACAGAGCCTTGAATGTTCTTACCCGCAGGGCCTCAATGACCAGGTCTCTGGCCTCTAGCTCCCCTTCCATCACGCTGAGGAGCATCCGCAGCTCTGATTTACTGAGTGTGTCCACATCAAATTCTTTTTTCTGAAACACAAATTTTTAAAAAGGTCATGAAGAACTATTGCTAAGAAAGACACACATATCCTATGGATCATTTTTATCCCATTGGCTAAGTAAATGTAGAGGCACTGAGATACTATTTGACAGCAGAAAATCTATGCCTTGACCTTAAGACCTTTTCCCAAATCTCTCCTCTAAAGAGATACACTTTTTGGCCTGCCTGCATGCCTGGATTCTCAATCTCTCCAAATTATGTGGCACAAATTTAAAATCCCTGGGGTCTGTATCAAAACAAGTCTGCTGTATGTTGGAGGTGGAAGGGATTCAAGGTAGCAAAGCAAACACAGATGTATTCCTAGAAGGACCCTGATAGGCTTCTGGAAGGAGTTTATTATAAATTCCAGGACCTCCAGTAATAGCAGATCATGTTTACAGACACTCTGCAGCAAGGGCCACCAGTCAGCAGCCTATGACCAAATCTGGCCCACAGATGTGTGCCACTGGGGCATAATTTTCTTTCTCTTCCATTTGGTCACATTACAAAAACTGCAGCACACACACACACACACACACACACACACACTCACTGGCTTGTATTCAAAAGTCAAATAACTGGATAACCCTAGATTCATGTTCCTACAAGGGACAAAACCAATGACCAAAATCAATTAACTGTTTCCTCTTTCAAAGGAATGTGTTCTTTATTTCGTCAACCACCACCTCCCCACCAAAACACACACATATACAGGCAGGTGCACTTTTTTGTTTTTTATTTTGTTTTTAAATATATTTTTAATAAGCTTGGACCACCACCCATGTGCAGTAATCTGGGCCTGTAATCAGGTGACTCAAATCCAGCTATGTCCTTATCAAAGAAAGTACTTTCTTAGGCAAATTCTCTGTAGCTTCTTGTCATTTTGCAAGACCAGCTAGTTAGGGACCTGAGGCTAGACTAAGTAGGTCTTCTAGAGATCCGGTTGCCCTATGAGATGTCAGCAAAAGGCCTGGGTGGCGGGGGGGGGGGGGTTCAATTCCTCTCCCAGCATTCTTTTCGCCCTATCACACACTCGTCTACTTTCCTTCCCTGGTGACCGCATCCTACCTCATGGCTATCACTTGCATTGATTTACCACTGATTCTCAATTCTTTCGCCTTCAACTCTAACTTCTGTCCTCACAGATTTCATGTCAGTCTTCTGACATCCATTTCATAGATGAGACAGAGGGAGGATCAGCTGTGAAAAATGCCAGGCCTGAGTGAGTCCAAAGTCTGAGGTTCTCCACCTCCCCTCTGTGGAGAGTCTCATTTGACAAACCTAGGCACCAACTCACATTCATCCCCAAATGTCTCCATGCACCCAACCTCAGAAGCTACTCTTTACTCCAGAACATTAATTCACTCTGTAGAACACACAGTGATTTTCACAGTATTCTCAAGGAACCAACTCTAATCTACAGGATATTATCATCTCTATTTTTCAGGTAAGAAAATCACAACTCAGAGAAGTCAAATTACATATGCAAATCATGCAACTATTAAACAGTAAAACACAAATAGATAATCTTCAAATGCTGTGATTTGTCTTCACAATTTACCACACTGTACCAACATTTCAGACTAGGTTCTGTAAGATCACATGAAAAGCTGCCATTCTATTTACCAGCTAATAAGAATTACCTTTGCATTTATGTATCTAACACTAGGCTATCCCTGTGAATACACAACAGTATCAATATAGCAAAGCACATAAATGATCTCAGGGCTCTCACAAAGCTCTCACAGGATAAGTCATATCTCATTTCAAAGGAGCCTTTTGGAAGGAGATATGATGTTACAAAAGGTAAAGAGACCAGTGCTAGGTGCGTCTCCAAAGAAAAACGTTAAAAAGATCTTCCTATTCTAAATGGTTTCTTTTTCCACATACACAAGATAGAGCAGTTATTTAGAAAAGCAGGGCCTAAGGAAGGAAAGAGAGAAGAGACCTACATCAGGTCTAACCCGTATGTACTTCTGAAAGATCACTGTTTAGAAGGCTTACAGATGTTCCTGGTAAACAGTAAAATCCAGTATACCAGGTCTCAACTTCTGCTCCCACTACAGGGCATTATCACACGGCCTTACAAGCCAATTGTTCGAAAACTCTCGAATCCATAACAATCACCTGGATACTTTTATTTAAAATATAAACTGCATGCCTAGGCCCATTTCTAGAAATTCTGATTCAGTAAAAGGGGTAGGGATCTTGCCTAACAAGATCCTGATACTGCTGCTGACTCAAGACACCACTTTGAAAAGCATTTCTACAACATATCTTAGTCTCGTGTTTCCCATGCATACAATAGAAATCCTAACATCTATTCTCCAAAGTTCTTATGAGAAACAAGAACATGTAAGTGAAGTAAGTGCCAAATAAGGCAGGCAGTTATTATTAATCCAGATGTTTTACGTAGGGAGGAGTGGGATACTGGCTAAGAGCCAGTTTCTTTGAAAACCTAAACCCAATAAACATAGTTTATTGACTATGATGAAAGACAGACTTTAATCCTGGTTTTTCCCACTGAGAGGGTACAGTAGGATGCAACTCCTAGGTGCTTTAAAGGATAATGTTTTATTCATGTTGCTGCTGGTTGTTCTAAAGATTTTAATTAATTGTGTATTTTATTGTCCTTGTTTCTCTGAAGGTTCATAAGCAAAGCATTCCATTTAAAAAACTAATAAATAATAGAAGACATCGCCAAGATTCAAATTTGTGCTTTTGTCAGGAGAGCTTGCCATGCTCTTGTCACTAGCATGACATGGTAGCCTGCAACCAACTCTTCTGTTTTTCTGTGTCACCATCAACAAAAAGAAATTCATTTTTTTGGTCCGGGGATTTAGCTCAGTGGTTTCGCCGCCTGCTGTGCAAGTGCAAGGACCTGAGTTCGATCTCCGGTACCAAAAAAAAAAAAAAAAAGAAATTCATTTAAAAAAAAAAATTGTTATAAGGTTATTGCTGAGCCATAGACTGTCACACAAAATGGTAAAAGCAAACCTGTCTTTAATCACAATGTATTAAGCAATACTTTATACAGTGTGTCTGTCTTTCCCCTATATTTCCACCTCTTCTTCGCCACTTAATACGCTAATTCCTGGCTTTCAATAATAAAAATATTATAGAAATATTTTCAGATTTTAATTCCCTAATATCTCAATTCCCATTCCTATTTTGGCAAAAAGAGAGTAAAAGGAAGTGTGAAAAAAAACAGGCAGGATATCTTAAGACTTAGGTATTTTACAAATAAATGCATTTTGATATTTTTAGAAAAGTAAGTCTAGAAGCAAAAGTCCCTATTATAAATTTTTTTGTTTCTTATGAAGAGGCATTTATCTGATGTACATATGGTACAAAAGTGCTCAGTTACCAAAAAATCATTAATGTTTATTGGTTCAAAAGTAAAAAGAACTGTCCTAAATTTTATAATGTTTATAAAAGACCCTGACAAAAGAAAGAACACACATCGTCCAAATACTGCCCTTCACATAAAAAAAAATTAAGATTTCCATCAAGGTGCCCATTAAAATATGACACTCCTCCCCCTCAAAATAATCACATTGGACATGTTGACAGCTTTCTTTCCACACTGTTCTTCCCAATTAGAAAAGAAAAATTCAGCTGGGGATTTAGCTCAGTGGTTCCGCCGCCTGCCTTGCAACCACAAGGTCCCGAGTTTGATACCTGGTACCAAAAACTAAATAAATGAGAAAAATTCAGCGTTTATTAGTGATAGAAAGGAACTCAAAATAATAAATAAAAAATAAAGCAGACCTGCTAAATTTCAACTCCACAAGCCACTCTTGTGCCATTCCATTTGCCAGGAAAGTACTGTATTCCAGGAAAAGTGTTTAGGAATAGCCAGTGTAAGAAGTCTGGCATGGTGGCTTAAACTAATCCAGGGTCTAGGCATCAAACAGAAAATGCATCTTTCCTGAGATACATCAAATCACATACATATATATACGTATATATACACATATATATATACGTGTGTGTGTGTGTGTGTGTATATATATATATATATTTTGGTACCAGGGATCAAACTTGGGTCCTTGTGCTTGCACAGCAGGAGGCGAAACCACTGAGCTAAATCCCCAGCCTGCAAATCATGTATATTAAATGCATTGTTCTTTTATGGTATACTGTGTTAATGAACATTTATTAAAATGCACATATTTGTAATATATGTATATACAAATGAAAAAAGGAGCAAAACTTCAAACTCTTAGCATTCACCCAGCAGTTTTTACGCCCTGAATTATTCAAGGTGGTGTGTGGAAGGCATTCTGCAGGGTTTCCTCATACAGACTCGGGGAGAGAGAAAGCAGACAAAACAGAAACTGGCTAAGTCTTATTAAACTGTCAGAACTGAACACAGGCCACCACCAAATTGCCCCGTCTCTCCCCACAAATCTAAAATACTGGGTTTATTCTGGGAAGTCAACAGTCACAGCCAAATAGGGCCAAAAGAGCCTTGCTAGTATCCTCACTGACTAGTTGCAAAAAAGAAAAAAAAAAGTCTTCAGGAGATAATCTGAACTACAGTGGCTAAGTGCCCCTAGGACCTTTGCCCAAGCACATAAGATCTTACCGGGGCTACTGGGTGAAAATCTGGTGACCAAACACAAAGTCAGACATGTTCTCTGGCTCTTCCTGCCAACGACCCCTTCTTCTACCTTAAAATCTAGTGGGCTGTCCCTACAACTCAAAAAAAGGAAGGTTGTCTAAGAAAGCCGGACTGCAAGGCGTGGTGAGGGAGGTGGCTAGTGACCAATCTGCAAAGAAGGGCAAGTTTCGTCTGTTTGGCTCTCAGGTTTCTAATCAGTAAAATGGCATTGGACATAATGATCTCTAAAATCTCCTCCAGCCCCCAAATGTCCTGATTTCACATACCATCAGGGTAACTGGATTACTGGCCTGAGGAAATTTAGGTCATTCCCTGAGACTAAAAGCCTTTGAGAAGTACTTGGGGAAAACTGATTTTGCTTCT